ATATCGCCCCCACAATCCGGGTACTCATTTTACCACCTCGGAAGGATGGAAGGCTGAGTCAACCCTGAGCCGGTGAGATTTGAACTGCTGAACTGCAGATAACAGTCAGCTGAAGTGGCCTGCAGTACTGCATCCTAATCACTGCGCCATCTCGGCTTCCAAAGCCAATATAAATAATAAAGGTAATGACGGGCATCCTTGTCTTGTTCCTTTACATTTAAGTTTGCTGTGCAGTCCCCATTTACAATCACTTTAGTTGTCTGTTTATGATCTATTGTCTTAATTACATTTATGAATTCATCTCCAAAGTCCATACAGTTGATGTATCATAAATTGCCAACTTACATTATCAAAAGCCTTCTGGGCGTATAAGAAGATTAGTGCTATTTGTTTTTCTGGATGTGTTTCATAGTATTCTAATGTGTCTAAAATGAACCTTAAATTGTGCTTTATTGGTCTTTTTGGTAAGAAAACCATTTCAATCTAGGTGGATAATCCCTAACCATGCCAGATGACAATGTTGTAACCAGGTTGACCACACACACATTTTCTGTCCAGATGCAGCTGATCCACTGTTGTTTTGTGCGTCACACATACTACACAAAGCCAAAACAACTCAGGGAATTTAATTTTTTCAGAGCAGAATTTGGAAAAGTGAACGGATGAATGATTTTGGCTGCTGGTCAGCTGAGCTGATCCATATCTCAAAAGTGCAAATCCTATTTATTAAAACTTGAATGTGTGTTGCAGTCTGTGTGTATATAATATCTGTGTGGGAGAACTATGCAACAGCAACTGAGGTGTTGAGGACCAGTGCCATGATTTGATAGTAACATTTAATTGGTTTATAATATCACTTTCTTCTTTAAAAAACCCAAACATTCTTCCCTGCTTTCACTCTTAATAAAACATTTCTTTTTTCTTTCTTTCTCATATATCTTTAGTGTACGATAAATCCTCATTTTTCTTTCCTGGCCTATTTTGAAATACCTGTAATTAGAAGAGTTGAGGGAACAAACAGTTAAGATTCATGTCTACATACCCCTTTGGCATCGATCACGCCAGGCTTGGAATTAAATTTCACTGTTTTTAAACGTGCTTTCTCTTTCCTTTCCACCCTGGAGAGAAAGGGGAAAAAAGAGGAAGAAAGGAAAATGGAAATATATGAAATCCATTATTATCATGATAGCTACACTTATGACCACAATTGAGCCCAAAATATCTGTTGTTGAGCGAGACATTTGTTAAGTGAGTTTTGCCCCACTTCATGACCTTTCCTGCCACAGTTGTTAAGTGAATTGCTGCAGTTGACAAGTTAGTAACCAGGTTGTTAGGAAAAATCTGATGGTCCCCCATGGACTTCGTTTATCAGAAAGTCACAAAAATGGATCACGTAACCTCAGGACACAGGTCATAAGTATGAACCAGTTGTCAAGCATCTGGATTTTGATCACATGACCACTAGGATGCTGTAATGGTCATAAGTGTGAAAACGGACAGGTCACTTTTTTCAGTGCCATTGTAACGTCAAACGGCCACTAAATGAATTGTTGTAAATTGAGGAATACCTGTATTCAACCAAGGGGAGACATTTTATGTATATATTTGATATTTCGTTTTATATACACTTTTTATTTTTATTTTTTGCTTTGTCTTTATTTTTCTCTCTTTTGTTTTCTTTCCCTTTTTTTGGATTTTGCATTTGAACTTTGGAAATAAATTTACAAAATTTAATATCTATCTATCTATCTATCTATCTATCTATCTATCTATCTATCTATCTATCTATCTATCTATCT